GATCAAGCCATTTCATGTTATATGTAGTTTACAGCTGGCAACCTTCATTTGTACAGTTTTTGCTTGTAGTATAGCCAAAAACCCATTTTTAAATTTTTTAGGGGCTTTGTTTAATTTGGTTTTTGTCTTAGCTTATACACGATCATTTCTTAAGGCTGGCAGTACTCTTTTCATAAACAACAAAATATAAGCGGATGCTGTCATATGTGGGGGCATTGAATGATATCAGAATCATTTATTTATATCAATAAAAAATATGACCCCAAAACTTATTTCCAAATTTAAAAGAATGGTTTATTTATTAGTTTCATATTGAATTGTATTATCATATATCGATCTTAATATAAACATCAAGGTAATAATCAGGATTTCAGCCTTCTAGCTTCTTCCGATCGATTGGACGGATGTTCATCCATAATTTACTCTATGGTCTAGTCTATAGTCTAGTCTATAGTCGAGTCTATAGTCTAGTCTATAGTCTAGTCTATAGTCTAGTCTATAGTCTAGTCTATAGTCTAGTCTATAGTCTAGTCTATAGTCTAGTCTATAGTCTAGTCTAGTAGTCTAGTCTAGTCTATAGTCTAGTCTATAGTCTAGTCTATAGTCTAGCTATAGTCTAGACTATAGTCTAGTCTATAGTCTAGTACTATAGTCTAGTCTATAGTCTAGTCTAGTCTAGTCTATAGTCTAGTCTATAGTCTAGTCTATAGTCTAGTCTATAGTCTAGTCTATAGTCTAGTCTATAGTCTAGTCTATAGTCTAGTCTATAGTCTAGTCTATAGTCTAGTCTATAGTCTAGTCTATAGTCTAGTCTATAGTCTAGTCTATAGTCTAGTCTATAGTCTAGTCTATAGTCTAGTCTATAGTCTAGTCTATAGTCTAGTCTATAGTCTAGTCTATAGTCTAGTCTATAGTCTAGTCTATAGTCTAGTCTATAGTCTAGTCTATAGTCTAGTCTATAGTCTAGTCTATAGTCTAGTCTATAGTCTAGTCTATAGTCTAGTCTATAGTCTAGTCTATAGTCTAGTCTATCGTCTAGTCTATAGTCTAGTCTATAGTCTAGTCTATAGTCTAGTCTATAGTCTAGTAGTCTATTCTATAGTCCTAGTCTTATAGTCTAGTCTATAGTCTAGTCTATAGTCTCAGTCTATAGTCTAGTCCTATAGTTCTAGTCTATAGTCTAGTCTATAGTCTAGTCTATAGTCTAGTCTATCGTCTAGTCTATAGTCTAGTCTATAGTCTAGTCTATAGTCTAGTCTATAGTCTAGTCTATAGTCTAGTCTATAGTCTAGTCTATAGTCTAGTCTTATAGCTAGTTCTATAGTCTAGTCTATAGTCTAGTCTATAGTCTAGTCTATAGTCTAGTCTTAGTCTATAGTCTAGTTTATAGTCTGCGGTAATTACTTTTATTACAAGGTTTATGACAGGCGGTCATCGCTAAATTGTTTCAAAAAACGATTCTGAACCTATTGGTATAGTTTATAGTTTACGTGGAAGACGAAGAACAAACGGTCCGACATAGCTTAATCAACTCAAAAAATGATTCTGAGCCGATAAGCATATTTTAAATTAGGGACCTCCCCACTACAGAAGTGTAGGATACAAATATTGAGCATATATTGCTATATTTTCTAGAGGATATGGAATGTTGGATTTTATCTGAAAATTCTCAACATTGGGGTCTTAAATCAAATTTTAATTCTGAGAACTGCAGTTGTATAACACAGTTACCGATCTCTATTACTCGAAAAGTTTCCTTAAATTACAAATTAACAATTACTTACAAAATAGCGGGCGAAAGCATTCCTTAATCTGTATCCATTTCTGACAAAACTGTTTAATAAAACTATCATTCTGACTGAACAGAGTGCGAGCGGCAGCATCAACACGATTTTGCATAAAAGGCGGTATGAACGGCCATTTACCTTTAGCCGCAAAAAAGCAAATTATATCTAAGAGTCCAAAAGAATATGAAAATGAAAGATGAAAATATATGAATGAAATGAGATGAGATGAGGGCGATATGAAACTTTAAAATTCTATCAAAACTTACATGGTATATTGAATATTTTTAGAAAACTTTTATGTTGATCCAAACGTTTCATGGCGTAAATATTTTTTGTGTCATCTTGAACCGGATGTCTAAGGGAAGAACTATCACTTGTACGATTGTGAATTTTCAACGACAGAGCAAAGGGTATCTCATCGATACGTACACTTTTTAAAAATGCCTCCGTATAGAGTAATTCATCGACCACTAGCAGGGTATATATGGGTATTATTAAACAAAAAAGTTTAGTTTTTAAATCCATGCTTATTCACCGTACCGTCGCGTATTTGTGTTGCAGTCGTTTGGAGTTGATTTTATGAACTGAGTGATAAGTTGCAAAATTCTAATCGATTCATTTATGTTGACGTTAGTTTTCTATATGTTTTGTTTACATATAAGTCCTGTTGCATGTTATAAAGTTCTTATTTTTTTATTTAAATAGGTTAGCTGCATATAAAAACATAAAACAAAATATTTGTTTTTTTTTGAACACGTGAACGAAAGTTCTAGAATTTTAACAGAGTCGTGGGTTTTGAAATATTTACATATGGACAATTCTACTACTCGGGCTTGTAGAACTTTCTGAAAGTAATCTTAGTTGTTTATCTAGTCTATAGTGGTCTAGTCTATAGTATGGACTATAGTCTAGTCTATAGTCTAGTCTATAGCCTGGTTTATAGTCTAGTCTATAGTCTAGTCTATAGCCTGGTTTATAGTCTAGTCTATAGTCTAGACTATACTCTAGTCTACAATCTATTCAATAGTCTTGGCTATAGTCGAGTCTATAATCTGGACTATAATCAAGTCTATAGTCTGGACTATAGTCTAGTCTATAATCTGGACTATAGTCTAGTCTCTAGTCCGGACTACAGTCTAGTCTATAGTCTGGACTACAGTCTAGTCTATAGTCTGGACTACAGTCTAGTCTATAGTCTGGACTAGACTAATCCAGTCTATAGTCTGAACTAGAGTAGTCCAGTCTATAGTCTGGACTAGACTAGTCCAGTCTATAGTCTGGACTTTAGTCCAGTCTATAGTCTGGTCTATAGTCTACAGTCTGGGCTATAGCCTTGTCTATAGTCTATTCTATAGTCTAGTCTAATCTAGTCCATAGTATGGATTATAGTCTAGTCTATAGTATGAACAATAGTCTAGGCTATAGTCTGGACTATAGTCTGGGCTGTAGTCTGGGCTATAGTCTACTCCAATCTATAGTCTGGACTATAGTCTAGTTCAGTCTATAGTCTACTATAATCTATGGTCTGGACTATAGTCTACTCCAGTCTATAGTCTGGACTAAAGTCTAGTCAATAATCTGCATTATAGTCTAATTCTATAGTCTGGACTATAACATAGTCTATAGTATGGACTATATCCTAGTCTATAGTCTGGACTACATCCTAGTCTATTCTGGACTATAGTCTAGAGTCTAGACTATAGACTGGACTATAGTCTAGGTTATAATCTAGTCTATATCTGGACTATAGTCTAGTCCATTTTATGAACTATAGTCTAGTCTAGAGTTTGGACTATAGTCTGGGCTACAGTCTACACCAATCTATAGTTTGGACTATTGTCTACTCCGGTCTAAAGACTGGACTATATTCTATAGTCTACTTCAGGACTACATCCTAGTCTATTCTGGACTATAGTCTAGAGTCTAGACTATAGACTGGACTATAGTCTAGATTATAATCTAGTCTATATCTGGACTATAGTCTAGTCCATTTTATGAACTATAGTCTAGTCTAGAGTTTGGACTATAGTCTGGGCTACAGTCTACACCAATCTATAGTTTGGACTATTGTCTACTCCAGTCTAAAGACTGGACTATATTCTATAGTCTACTTCAGTCTATAGCCTGGACTGTAGTCTAGTCTATAGCCTGGACTATAGTCTAGTCTACAGACTGGACTATAGTCTATTTTATAGTCTGGACTATAGTCTATTCTATAGTCTGGACTATAATCTAGTATATAGTGTGGACTATAGTATTTTATATAGTCTAGTCTATTATATGGATTATAGTATAGTATAGGACTATAGTCTAGAATATAGTCTGGTCTATAGTATGGACTATAGTCTAGTCTTTGTTCTGGACAATAGTCAAGTTTATAGCCTTGACTATAGCCTAATCTATAGGCTGAACTATAGTGTAGTCTATATTATGAACTATAGTCTATTCCATAATATGGACTATAGTCTAGTCTTCAGTCTGGACTATAGACTAATCTATATTCATGAAGATAGTATAGACTATAGTCGTGACCTTAGTCTAGCCTATAGTCGTGACTATAATCTAGTCTAGTCAATAGTCTAGTCTATAGTCTGGACTATAGTCTATTATATCGTCTAGTCTATAGTCTGGACAACAGTCTGGGCTATAGTCTATTCTATTATTCTGGAATGTTTGCTATATAGAATAGACTTCGTTAAAACGATATAATTTTCGTCCGTCATAGCCTTTACTCCCTCTTTGTTCGCTGTCACTGTATTTCATATCTAGATTTTTCTAGAACTTTTAAAGGCTTTTAACTAACAACATATTCCTATGTAAACTGCATACATTGTGGGAGGACTAAATATTAAGGACATTGAACTTTTTATGACACATTTGTTAGTCACTTTTCATGTTAATAAAAGTCAATAAAATAAAAACTTGTTCAAATTTTCAAAACACAAACAAATTTAAAACAATTTAATATTTTTAAAACATTTTAAAATTTTATTAAGTCGTTTTTTGTTTAATTTTCCTTTTTTTTTTTTGTTAAATATTATGGTGGGATTTTTGTAATTAAATATTATAATAAATTTATATATAAACTTAAAATTAAAATAATTAAAAAAAAAATTAATTGACTAAACATATTAAATATTAAACAATAAATTTAGTTTAAAAAATAAGGCACCTTTGTGATTGGCTTTTTAAAATTTTTATAAGATTTTATAAAAAATATTTCTAATAATAATTAAATATTAATTATATTAATGAAACTATTAATTAACTAGTTGTGTGATTGTTTAATTAAAACTTTAATTAATAATACTAATTTCTACAGCAAGCTAAGGCACTAACTATATAGAACCGTTAAAAATAATAAATTAAATTTTATTTTACAAAACAAAGTCATATGGCATTAATGTTATTATGGACTTAAAAACTAATTAATTGTTTGGTAAATATTTGAGGAAGGGTTTCAATTTCAATTAAAATTAAAATTTTATTTAGGCAGTATCACAGTATAACAGTTCATTTTTGTGATTGATGCAGTGAAATTCCTTTTCATTTCTATTTATGGCATTTTTCGGCGATATAACTAAACTTTTGCGATGCAAGGCAGCGGCTCTTAATTTCTTATTACGTCTCTTGCGTCGTCTGTAGATGCAGTACCAGACCACTGAAACAAAAATTAGAATAGAATATATATTTTCGGATTGTTTTTTATAATCTTAGCTTTATAACTTACCTAATATAACTGCTAGTACGCCGCCCGCGCAGCCCGCTACCAGCATCCACATACTTCGTGCTTCTGCTATTTTCACCGTAGTCTTACATGTCTGAAATGTTTCAGAATCGATGGTGAAATTGTAAGGCAGTGGACAGATGGAGGTTTCTAAAACTTCTGTAAATATTTAGGAAGAACAATTTGTTAACAATTTGTATTTTTTTATAAATTCTTTCTCGTCTATAGTCTGGACTATACTTTAGTGTAATATATAATCGGGACTATAGTATAAACTATAGTCTGGACTATAGTCTAGTCTATAGTCTGGACTATAGTCTAGTCTATAGTGTGGACTATAGTCTAGTATATAGTGTGGACTATAGTCTAGTCTACAGTTTGGTTTTTGGTCTAGTCTATAATCTGGACTGTGGTCTAATCTATACTCTGGACTATAGTCTGATCTACTTTATAGTCTGGTCTAGTCTATAGTATGGTTTAGTCTATAGTCTGGTCTATAGTCCGGACTATACTCTAGTGTAATATATAATCGGGACTATAGTATAATCTATAGTTTGGACTATAGTCTAGTCTACAGTCTGGACTATAGTCTAGTATATAGTCTGGACTATGGTCTTGTCTACAGTCTGGCTTTTGGTCTAGTCTATAATCTGGACTATGGTCCAGTCTATAGTCAGGACTATGGTCTAATCTATACTCTGTACTCTAGTCTGATCTAGTCTAGAGTCTGGTCTAGTCTATAGTATGGTTTAGTCTATAGTTTGGTGTAATCTATAGTCTGATCTATAGTCTGAAAAAAGTATAGTCTAGACTATAGTATGTAGTTTGAAATATAGTCTAGTCTATAGTGGAGTATGCTCTAGACTCCTAGTCTAGCTTATGGTCTAGTTTATAGTCTGGACTGTTAATTACGTCTAGTCTTTACTTTGGACTATAGTCTGGAAAAGTCTAGTCTATAGTCTTGACTATAGTCGATTGTTTTCAATATATTCTAGTCTATTGTGTGGGACTATGGCTTTGACTCTAGTCTAGACAACGGTGTAGTCTATAATCTGCGCTACGGTCTAGTCTATAGCCTCGACTATTATCTGGTCTATAGTCTGGTCTGTGGTGGGGACTAAAGTCTAGGTGTATAGTCCCTTCTTTAACCTGGTCTATAGTCTGGACTAAAGTCTAGTCGATAGTATGGAGTATCGTCGATAGTTTGAAATATAGTCTAGTCTATAGTGTGGACTATGGTCTAGACTCTAGTCTGGACAATGAGCTAGCCTATAATCTAGGCTATGGTCTAGTCTATAGTCTGGACTATAGTCTAGTCTATAGTGTTGTTAATAGGCTGTCTATTGTCTGAACTTTAGTCTAGTCCCAGTCTGAAATTTAGTCCAGTCTACAGTCTGAACTATAGTCTATTCTGTAGTCTAAACTATAGTCTAGTCTAGTTTATAGTCTGGACTATCGTCGATAGTTTGAAATATAGTCTAGTCTATAGTGTGACAATGGTCTATCTATAGTCTGGTTATGGTCTACTCTATAGTCTGGACTATAGTCTAGTCTATAGTGTTGTTAATAGGCTGGTCTATAGTCTGAACTTTAGTCTAGTCTACAGTCTGAAATTTAGTCCAATCTACAGTCTGAACTATAGTCTATTCTGTAGTCTAAACTATAGTCTAGTCTATAGCTTGGACTATAGTATAGACTCTTGTCTGGACTATAGTCTAGCCTCTAGAATGGACTATGGTTCAGTCTGTAGTCTGAACAAAAGTCTAGTCTATATTCAGGACTATAGTCTATAGATTGGAGTATATCTAGTCTATAGTTGGGGCCATTGTCTAGTTATAGCCTGGACTAGAGTCTATAGTGAGGATAATAACTTAGGCTATAGTCTGAACTTAAGTCAAGTCTACAGTCTGGAGTATAGCTTAGTCTGTAGGCTAGACTAAGTCTAGTCTATAGACTGTAATATGGTCTAGTCTATAGTCTGGACTATTGCATAGTCTATAGCTTGGATCATTGCCTAGTCTATAGTCTGGACTAGGGTCTAGTCTATAGTCTGGATATGGTCTAGCCTCTAGTTTTTACTATAGTCCAGTCTGTAGTCTATAGTTTGGATTATAGTCTAGTCAATAGTTTGGACTATAGTCTAGTCTAGTCTAGTCTATAGTCTGGACTGTGGTCCTAGTCTATATTCTGGACTATAGTCTAGTCTGTACTCTGGATTATAGTATATTCTATAGTCTGGACTTTAGTCTAGTCTATAATCTGGTCTAGTTCATAATCTGTACTGTAGTTTACTCTATAGTCTGGTCTGCAGTCTAGTCTATAGTGTGGATAATAGGCTAGACTTTAGCCTGGACTTTAGTCTGGTATATGGTCTATAGTGTGGACTATAGTATAGCCGATTGTTTGCATTACAGTCTAGTATGTTCTATAGTCTGGACTTTAATCTTTTCTAAAGACTTAATCAATTTTATCTTTCAACTTACCCACACAACTGGAACAAATTTTGTCTTCACTTGTAAACTTCTTAAGTGATTATTAACCTGCTGGCACTGACACTGTGATAGTTGAGTGCGTGTTAAATCTATACTCTTCAGATTGCACAAATTGGCAAAACGATCAATACTTAAGTCCATTAAAGGATTCATAGAGGCATTTATATGCCAAAGTTCTGAAAGAAAAAAATATTTGAACATTAAATCAAATTCCTTTAAAAAGTAATTTAACAAAAAACTTACTTGGTAATATACCCAAATCGGGTATATCCTGTAGACCACAATCGGCCACATTTAAATATTCTAAAGGAGCTTTTATAGGAGTTTCCAAAGCCTCTAGATCTCTTTCCAAGAAAGTCAATTCATTACTATCTATATATAGATTTCTTAAAGAGGGTAATTGCAACAGCTCCAACGGTATGGTCATAAGAGCATTATTTGATAAATCTATTTCCTGTAAGGGAATACAAAAATGTTATTAAACGCTTGTTAACAAAAGTGTTATAATTATTGTGTGAGATTTATTTTTAATAATAATTTCAAATAATTTGTTAGTTACAGGCGATTGTCTAAAATGTAATTAGTTAATATGACAATTGCATTTTCTTATTTAGTAAAATGATTTGTTAACAATTAATCTCAAACGTAATGAGTGAAATAATTAATCTGATAATTTGTATGTGAATAACATTTTGTTTTATTATAACAGTAATAAAACTGTCATTGTGTTATAACGTTTGTGAAAAAGTGTCACTTACCTGTAGTGATGTTAAATGTGAAAAGGTACCCGGTTCCACGGATTGTATCATATTCTCATAGAGTAATAAATACTTAACACTTGTATAGGGTTGAAATGAGCTGCGTTTAAGTTTCTTAATGCGATTAAATGATAAATCTAAAACCTGCAAAGAAATACATTTTATATTTAGTTTTAATAAATTTTTCTTAAAATTATTTTAAATAGTATAAAATTATATATAAATGTATATTAGTTGTTGCTGGAAGCCAGCCATATAGCTGGAACAAGTGTTTTATTTAATAATTAAGATCAATTGAGCGTCAATTATGCCATACAAAATGTATGTATTTCATATTACACTACAACCTCGCTTTGCAGTACATTTTTATATTGATCGAATTGGTTAACTATTCCTCTGCTTTATAAACTGAAAACTATTTGAAATGTTCCTAAAAATTTAGAAATTATCGAACATTTTTTTTTAAACGAAATTATTGAAAATTTTCTATAAAAACGGAAATTATTGAAAACTTCCTATAAAAAAGGGAAAGTATAGAAAATTTTCTAGAAATAGCGAAATTATTGAAAATTTCCTTTAAAAAGGGGAAATTACGGAAAATTATCTATAAAAAGGTAAATTATTGAAAATTTCCTATTAAAAGGGAAATTATTGAAAATTTTCTATAAAAAGGGAAATTATTGAAAATTTCCTATAAAAAGGGAAATTATTGAAAATTTCTTTTAAAAAGGGAAATTATTGAAAATTTCTTTTAAAAAGGGAAATTATTGAACATTTTCTATAAAAAGGGAAATTATTTAAAATTTCCTATAAAAAGGGAAATTATTGAAAATATCCTATAAAAAGGGAAATTATTGAAAATTTCCTATAAAAAGGGAAATTATTTAAAATTTGCTATAAAAAGA